TTTACTGTTTTTCAGAACATAAACCTCCATTGACAACTACAGTTTCCATAGGAACTGATCAAACTACTGCAGTAGATTCTGCAGAGATAACCAAGGTCCAGATTGCTCCGCCATCTCATCCGGCTCCTGTACACCAGCCACCACCTATGCCTCATCGTCCACCACCCCCACCCCCACCTTCCAGTTACATAACTGGTATGTCCACTACTAATTCATACATGTCAGGAGAAGGGTATCAGAGTCTCCAATCGATGATGAAAACAGAAGCACCAACTTATGGAGCTTTACCACCTACCTATGGACCTCCAACTCATTTGCCATATCATCCTCATGTATATCCTCCCAACCCTCCTCCTCCTGTCCCTCCTCCTCCGCCCACATCATTCCCTCCACCTACCATTCCTCCTCCTACTCCAGGATACCCTCCACCACCTACTTACAACCCAAATTTCCCACCTCCTCGGTTACCTCCTTCTCATGCAGTCCCACCTCATCCCCCTCCAGGACTTGGCATGCCACCTGCAAGCTATCCTCCTCCCACAGTGCCCCCTGGTGGACAGCCACCTGTACCACCTCCAATACCACCCCCTGGCATGCCACCTGTTGGAGGACTTGGCCGTGCTACTTGGATGAGATAGCAGTTGTACATAACATCTTTTTTTTCATCTTTGGTGAGGTGGGGGATAGTATAACTAGATAAGGATATAGAGGCTGCTGTTTGGAAATGTAGAAGGCAGTGGTACTGATTTGTTTACAGTTTGGTCAGCAGAGAACAATATAGACTTTTAGTTTAAATATTACAAAGCTAACTAAAATACAAGAGCTATGTTAATTGTAGTGCTGGATTACTTTGCACTAATAAAATGTTTTGAAGGCCACATTGGCTGAGTAGTATTGGTAAGAAGAAGGAAAAATAGAAAAGTCTATACCTACTTGAGTATCAGGATTAAGGTTATTTCATATGAAAGGAAAAAAAAATGATTTCATTATGTAACATTCCAGCAACACTTCATTCTAAGTTGCAGAGCCAATTTATTTTATGTTTCTCTGTGTATATGTACACATACGTACATACATACAACCTCACATCTATGGAAGGTATGTTTGTATGTCACTTTCTGCCATTGTTATTTTGGAATGAATGTTCAGACTTTTTTGAAAATTTCTGTATATACATATATTTTCAAAATGTAAAATGTAATGGCATACAGTGATTTACACCTTTGTTGTTTCTGATTCTTGAAAAGGTTGTGTTGACATGTATCCAAATAAATCTGCTTCTGAAAGCTGAAATATTCTTAATTGCTGTCCAGTGCAGTTGGCTCTCCCTTGCACCCCATGCCAGCGTCCCCATCTAAATAAGGTTCCCTGCTTGTTAATGCATTTTTTCTCCAAACAGTATCTAAATCTAATCTCTAATCTTTCTGCATCTGCTTTTGCCCTTACGCTGCTCTCACATGCATACTTACCTGAATGTAGTGGGATGAGTAAACATATTTAGGATTAGATTATTATAGACTGAAAAGAAGAAATATTGATCCAACAGGAGGACTAGAGAGGATGGCCCACTTTTCTCCATCTAATTTTTTTAACAATGTTAAAATATACAGTATAATGAATGAAAAATCACAGTTTAACTAAAATTGTAACTTTATGCTGATTTCTAAGCATTTTAATATTTTTCAACTTCCCAAAAATACAGTAATGTCACAGCTCCCTTACAAAGAATGTATTTTATTATCTTCAATGGAATGCATACACTACCACAATCCCTTAATTTTTACTAAAATATTTCAAATGAAGATTTTACACACTTAAAAAGTCTTTATATTTTCACCCTCCCTGCCACAAAAGCAGTGCTTCAGTAAAAGGTATAAATGTGTGCTAAGATCTAAAGACATTGCTTATATACTGTACATGAGCACAGGTGCTAATTTACTTTTTCCAATCATATATAGAAAATATGGCAGGGTTATAAGATCACAGGTTTAACAGAAATCATAATTTCATACTTATTTCCAAAAGCAGCACAAATAGACTCTTTCCCCACATTATGAAAAATATACAATTTTATCACTTTGCAGTCATGCACTTTGTTTGAAAAAAAATCAGTAGTACTTTTTTCTCTATTCCAGTTTCTAAAAAGGTAAAAGGTCACTTTAAAACACTTTCTTTTTAATTGCTATCTTTTGGGTAAACATTTGCCTTTTAAAACAAGATTATGCTCTTTTATCAAAAAGGGCAGAGTGCACCTGGAATTTGTCCAATTGCAATATGCTTTTTCCCCAAGAAAAGCAACCAATTGCTTAAAAATAGAGTAGGAGGAAGAGGAAGAACCAAACAACAGGAATTTTGTTCTGAAGTTTTAGACTGTTCGGTATAGACTGAATGCATCTGCATTTTAGGAGTATACAATGTTGGACTTTATTAATGATCATTATTAGATGGAGGTGGGAAAATGAACATTACTACTCCAGCATTGTATTTCAACTTATGTTTCCTTCTATATTAATATTCAGTGTGCAATTTTTTTAAATTTTTTTTTGCTTTGAGATCACTGAAGTTTAGCGTATCAGTCATATACTATAAAACAGCCTTCCCCAAGACCGTTGGTTTCCCTGGGGATGATGGAAATTTTAATGTAACTCATCTGGAAGGTGCAGCAGGTTAGGAAGTTATACTGTAAAGTGAATCATTGTCCAAGGAAAACAATTTTAGCTTATTTCAAGCTAAATATAAAATAGCAATTAAAAAAATAAACATAGCACTGCATCTGTAGATTCTACAATTTATAACTTGCATATATTTGGAAGTACTTTGCATTTTCATCTACAAAAATTTTGCTAATACCATCATGGAGTTACAAATCTGGAGGACTTTGCAATTTATTCATGTTATTTGTATGGGTCTAGTTCCACAAACATGTAATTTTCACTTTAGTATTACTAAATACTGGGCACCTTTCATTTTATTTTGGCATGTTGGATTAATTTCTATGCCTCAGCTTGGTTTTGATTTCCCCATTGTGTTCAAAGTATCTGAATTTGCTTTTGAAATAAATTACAGATTTTTTTCTTCAGCTTTTAGGTTCCTCAGCTGATCACTGGATTGCATAAAAGTAAAGTCCACTAAAATAGACAGATTGGGCTGAAATAGATTTATGCCTGTAACATACCTAAGTACTCAAAGCTGCCCAGCACCAATGAGTAGGGGGGCATACATGTTTAATAATTGTTGTTGTTATGGTTGGTCCCATAGTCAGCCAGATGTCTACACTGGATTTGGCATTTTTATCCACCTATCAAGTCCTTCCCAAGGTCCTGGGATAGGCAGATGTGGTTTGATGGTATTATTATTTTCTCATGTGGATTGTACCTGCATCTCATAATCATATTGGAAGCAGTGCAAGGAATGTGCAGGAGGAACTGCAATGGGAACAGAGAGAATAAAACACTCCAGCACCTAAGAATCTCTACTATCCCTTTTCATTTTATGCCGTTCCTCTATGGAACTCAAAGCAACATACAGTACATGAAGCTCCCAAGAAAGACTTCCAGGCAGGTACCAATCACGTATGCATTCAGACCAAGTCTTGGTTTTGGCATAATGTGAATTATGAACCCAACTATTGAGATATATAAACCATGATTTACTGCTTCACATGTGTGAAGCCAGACTATTACAGTTTATTCAATAAACTTGTTTCAGAACATTAATTCTCCTTACTACTTAAAAACACTTGGTTATTTTGGGGGGCCTGTCCCAGCCATCATTAAAATGATTCAACAAACAGATTAATCAAACCAAGTCAATGTAAATCTTAAAATACTGGAATGAACTCACAAAAGATATAGAAGAATGGCAGGGAAGAAGGAGAAACTGATGGCCAACTAAGTAATAATAGGATAAATAAAATCCGAACAGTTGTGAGACAGCAAAGTGTTCCAGTACTAAACTTATGAAAGAGATTTTGTTATACATGATGAATACACTCAACTTGATTTCTGACAGACTTATTTTTGCAATTAGTTGTGGCATTTCTGAAAATATCAGCTAAATTTGCTCAATCAACAGCACTGGGGACACTAGAATGGCCACTATAGGAAATAACATTATTTAGTCTCAGCTCTTAGAAATCCAGCTGCTTTTAATTCAGCTAGATGATGTTTTATGTATTTAGCATCATGCGCTAACTTCAATTACTTATACATGGAGAAGGAAGAATATGCGAGCATTGATTTCTAAAGCATGAACTTCTTAAAATGAATTGACTGCAGTAACTATTGGAAGACTGGTGGGCAAAAGAACCTAGAGCAGATATATTTTATACACTGCCTTTGTTTACCAGTGTTTGCTGCAGTAATCAATTTAGAGCAAGAAGGAGCCATGTATACAAGCATGTAGTAGGTACATGCATGGGATGCACACCTCATTGTATTTTTGTGACATAGGACCACCCTTATTCCCAAGCATTTGGCTACTTAGATCATTTCATTGCATTTTAGAAGACAAATATAATTTTTATGCTGCAAGCCCAACTATTAGTTGTTTGGACCACTCCTGATCTTCCTCTGAACGGTTCTTTCAATAGCCCACCCAGATTCCCTGATAACCACATTTATATTAATTATAGATCCTTGCAAACTTGAGCTTTTCAAAATCAAAGTTTGTATTTTAAATCACTTAGAGAACAGGGAGGTTTCACTGATACTTTTGCCTATAATAAGACAAAATGAGAAAAATGAGCTCACACCTTGCTCCTTGGAGTACCGAGTGACTCCAGATCATATATAACTTCCAAAGCAGCTCAATATCTAGTTATAGGATGGACTTGCAAAATCAAAAAGGCAGCACAACCAAGACAATGGTCAGATAAAAGAAATCTGAATCTGGGGCAGAAATGTAATTTGAGAAACCATCTCAGACAGGACCCTCCCTAGTTCTCACAAAGATAAAGAGGGAAGGGGGAAATGTATTCAGCTTTGCAAGACTCTGTTATTGTAACCTTATAATAAAATTAGTATTGGCATCCATAATTTTGGTTTCCTAGTCTGATCTACCTTGAAGGGTTGACACAGACAGAATGAGACTGAGAAGAAAAGTATATAGTCTTTCCGAAAGAGGGTTACTTGAGAGATTGAAACTTTTGAGTAGTGGACTATCTAGGTGAGTTCTTAATAAAAAATGTTCAAAATAAAGAGCATCCAGTAGAAATAGGTCTGACTAAATGAACCATAATCAAAAATCTACGAAACCAGGTTGCTGAAGGTAAAGTTGTGGTATTTTCAAATGCATTGCACATTTCTGCATATGGAGCATTTATCCTACAGATTTCTCCTTGTCAAAGTGATCTTACACAACTGGGATCTAGTGGCCAGTTAGGTGTTGCACTATACAGTTTTAGGAAATTTACAATTATCTGATAAAATGAGATTGGAAAAAGTGATCACAGTTCAAAATAGAGAAAAATTGATTTGGTTGATTAGCAGCAGCATTTCTCACAACAATCACTTTGTGATGTAACTTAACTGGTTCTTCCTCTACATACTTTTCCAAATACTGTAACCAGTTCTATAAATTCTCCCACTTATTTCCATGATACCATGTCAATATTACTTTACATAAGGGACCATGTGTGTTTTTTTTAAATTTAATATAATAATATTAAAAAGACATGGGCAAAAACAGACATTGCAGGAACTGTCTTAATGTGTTATATTTTTCTAATGTGGAGTTAAGGTCAAAATAAGCAAAATCACAACAGTGGAACAATCCTCCCATGTATACTGGAGGGTAATGCAAAGGAATGAAGGGTTGGTGTATCTTTAGCAACAGTGTGAAGACTTGTAGAGAACAGGTTGCTCAGTCAAGTGCCACTCTACCTACCGCCTCGGGGAGTAACTTATCCAAGAACAGGCCAAAATCTATAACTGGTATTGACGAGGCTCATGTGCTCCTAATAATTGTGTAGAAAAATTGTCAATGCCAATTACAGATTTTGCCCCATATGAGCTCACTTCTCTTTCTCCTCTTCACTGCTCATTTACTTATTTCTGTGGAGTCTATTTGTATCCTCTCCTAGAAAGGATGAGGTATGCAGAAATGGTCATTTCTTTCTACTCTTCCTCCCAATGAGAGGTAAGTAGGCAGAGGCAGCAAAGAGGAAGAGCAGTGAGACCACAAAGGTGTAGGGCAAATGATGCTGAACAACAGCTCTAGGCCTGAGGTCTGCTATTAATACAGTATCACCCAAACTGCATCACTAAAAACTGGTGACCCACCAAATTGAAGGCAGCCTAGCAATTATATATTATGGACTGTCAAGTTCTTGAAAATCTAGAATGCATTGCTAGGTTATTCAAAGCTTAGTAGGATAAAAGTTGTATCACATTTGTCCTTCAAAAAAAAAAATCCAACCCTACAGTCTCTGACAGAACTTCTCTCAACAGACTTAAACAATGACTAATTTAGGTACTGGTGTATTCCTTTGTATTTTCTAAAATCTTACTACAGAGAAGCCTTTGTCAGACAAGTGCCCTACAGCTGCCTCCCATAATTTCTAGTCAGCATGCTGGGGTTGGTGGGAGTTGCTGCCAGATTGAGGAAGACTGCTTTGGGCAGCCACTACTGCCATGCAATTCCATGAGTAGGCTAAAATAAGGCGGTGGAACTGCTCAGAGTTCTTTTCTGATACTCTCTCTAGAAATTATTGGGGGTCAAGTATGTATCTATGACCATATAGGAAAGTGGGGATTTCATTACAATACAAATGACAGAGATTGGCCAGAAGGGTAGTCATTAACCCACGTATCATTGTTCTGGATCAGGACAGCCCATAAGCTAGGCCTTTAGCTGCCTTATTTACACTATCAACACAGTTATAGGAAATGTGGGGAAAGGATAATGCTGGCAGCCAGAAGCAGGGAAGTTCCTGTGCCTCTGATACTTTTCACTTCCAGTCTTGCAGCTTGAGATGCTTATAAAGGACCCTTGAACTGGTTTCCTGAAAGATGTTGCCTGATCGATGGTTTGGAGCTTGCTGCATCACCTAGTTTTCGCCAGACAACCTAAGAACAAGGAGAAAGAAAAAGTGCAATTTGTAAACAGGAATCAGGCTTTCCAGAAATAGAGCTGCTGGGAAAACCTGCAGCTCTTGAGTTCTGATAATGCCTTCTTGTTACACTAGGAGGCATCCAGATCCCAACATAACCTTAGTCCTCAGTTTTAAAGTGTTGATCTTGTTAAAGGGTCCTAGCATTGGATGTGTCTTAATTAGGGACCAAATTAGGCAAATTTGATTTGGCACCATATCAGTAAATTAAGCTAAGTTGAGTTCAGTGTTAGCTCAGTTGCTATCAAAATTGTAAAGATCATGTTCCCTTTATCAAATGTTAGTACCAAAAAATGGTGGCAAAACATGACATGCATCTGTGATATTTCATTTTCTTGCATTATAAATCCCTGAATAGTTAAAAGAACACAGCAGTTTTAGGGCTGACTCTAGGGTTTTGTGGTGATGGTGGTTTGAAAAAACCTGTTTAGCAATTCCTCTCCAGGAGAAAGCCTTGATTCTGGCCAGCAAAAACACGATCCTTTGGACGGCTGCAATACTATTAACTGTACTGTCTGGGCAGCAACTTCCAACTACTTTTTACTATGCACAGTGTTACTGACATTGTCTCTGAGTCAGATGACTCAGAAGCAAGGAGCTTTATCTGTATAAATGCCATCTTCAGGAATTGGGAAGCAATCAAGTTCCTGAGGCTGACACCTCCAGCAATCATCCAGAACAGGCGCAGGGCAAAACTGATGCTGGACGCCCTGATTGTGAGCAACCACACAGTCCAAGAATGTGTTGCAAATTCTGGCTCCTCAAGAAGCAACCCCTTAACATTTGCGTGGCTCCTTGAGAAGCAAAAGCAGCAAGGGCCTTAATTGGGCCTTACCCGCACCAGGCTATGCCAACGCAAGAGCCAGCAACCGGCTGTTCCATTAGGAATCACTCCACTCTCAGCACCATGCTTTCATGTCTCTGGATCCCATATGCTACCCAAGCCTCCACTTCTCGACCTCAGACTGGCTGACTACCTTTCTGTGATGTGTGGACTTTTGGACTGCTCTTGGGCTATGCTTACCCATGCTTTGCCTTGGACTCTCACAGGCAAGACTTTCCTGATTAGCATTACTAGTGTGCGCAAGCATTTGCATGTTCCAGAGCTCTGCCTGCTGAAGCCTGTAAACATTTACAAACTTGAAAGTAAAACAGCTCACAACCCAACTCCACGTATGTGCTCAGCCTGAAAAAAGTACAATTACAGCATCATCAAAAACTTTGGAGGACCTCACAGAAGCTAGTGGTTAGCAAAGCATTTCCATGGTGTGCGTGTGCCTCCAGATAGCAGCCTTGAGACTCCAGACTTAAATAAAAATTATACTGATACTGGGTGAGATCTGCACACTGCACATTGTGTGATATTTTTGTGCTCCTCCTTGAAATCTTGCAGGAGTTTGAATTATCTCATTTAGGTGCTTGTACAGATATCCTCACAAACCAGCAGTCATCCCTGAAACATAGGTTGGGCACCATGTGGTCCAAAGCTCTGTTGGGCATTTTAAACATCCCTAGGCTCCAGAAGCATCTAGCTAGACCGTGTTCCTATGCTCAGTAAGTCTATTCCAAAAGACAATAAACAAGGAAGTGTTGGCAGCATTCTTGCCAAATAGTTTATCATTACAACTTTCAAATAACATATTTGTTTTAAAGAAGTTGAGCAAAATAAATTTGTTAAGGTGTGGCACATTCCACCTATTTGAAAAGATAGTCAGTTTTGGTGGTTGTATCAGTAAAGCATTCTGCAGCTCTTCATATCCTGAAGGGGGTTAAATACAGTACTTGCAATAGCTAATATAGTGCATTGCTTTTGAAAACCACTTTAGTTTAATGGAAGAATCTCAAAGAATTTTCCTGGGAACTGTCTTTGAATATATTTTGACCTGTAGGGCAAGAAACAAACAGTGTCTTTTTTTTTTTTTTACACTGCATGCTTAAAGAAAAACATGGCTTTTTTGTACATTGTTTTTGCTCCTGGCTCTGTGCCATGACACTGACATTCCACAAAGCTAAAGTGTTCACATCCTACAAGTGTTAGTCATTTCCCTATCAACAGTGTCTTGTTTTCTTTAATTCCTGTAGGACAGGAGGGATTTCAACCATAATGGTTTCTATGGGTGACCACAAGCATTGTGTGATTATGCCATTTGAATTTTCTGAAAAGCACACCCACAATACAGTAGTTGACAAGAATGGGTACAACCTAGGTAACTTACATTAAATCCTGCCCACGCTTCCTCAGGATTGGACACAGTGGGGCTTATTTCCAAATCAAGATGCACAGAACTGAGCACATAGCTACAATCCTATGCACTTCATCTAGGAACAAGTTGCAATTTTTTTCCAGCAAGGCCTGAAATTGTGGCCATCCCTTGAAAAGAGTGTATGTGTGCATGTCTGTTTTAAAACAGACTCATTTGCCCTTTTCTTAATAGAAAAAGTGCTGTTATCGTTTTTACATTTTACAAGCAAATTTGATATATGCATGATTTTGGAGCACTAAGGATTTATTTGGATTACAGTGCAAAATCTTAGTCTATAGAGCACACACAGACCCCTATCCATTCTGGATGGGCACAATGAAGCATGCACCCTTTCAGCACAGCAGGGTATGAGTGCATTCTCTATACATACACGCTACAGTTTGGGTCCATCTATGTACCCTCCTTGCACTGGCTCCAAAATGCGCTATTTACATTTGCAGATGATGTATCTTCACAAATACCCGTCATCTTAGGGCCAGCCTACTGTTGAAGCAGGTTAAAGCCAGGAATGGGGTGCTCATCATTGCAAAAGAGAAGAAAGCCATCTCCGTGTTAACATTCAATGTTGCATGGAGGAGTGGCTGCTCCTGCTTTGGCTGTTAGAGAAAACAGCCTTGTCTGGCAGCTGAAATTTATTTCTCTCCCTGGCTCTGGTAGCCCCCACCATTGTACAGGGACAGCTACTTTGCCAGCCTCATTTCTGAGGTGCAGCAAAATGAATGCAGTGGGGCAGCAGTTTCCCAAGGGATGGGCCTTCCTCTTGCTTCAAGGTTGGGAAGAAGGTACATTGCAGGAATGTGAGGAAAGTCCAAAGAAACAAGGAGCTGCCCTGTTGCCTGTTCTCTTTGTCCCCAGTTTTACACAGTGAGACCTGTGATGTAGGCTTTCCCAAACCCTAATTGCAACAGCCAGGTGAA